CCTTGGCCTCCTTGCTTGTCATCTGCCGGATGCCCTTGGGTCCGATGACCAGGTCCACCGTGATGTTCCACCCTTGCTGGGGGGGCAGAGGAAGGAGGATGCAAGTTTGAGGGGTGGGGGAATGTACCCCCAGAGCCAAGTTCCACCACCCACCCCACCCCCCCCAACCTGCTACGGTGTGGGGGACACCCCGGGAACAAAATCACCCTCCCAGAGGGATTTGGAGAGCAGATGGTGGGTGACAGAGGCAAGGAGCCCAGCGTGGGGGGGTTTCCTGGCCCCAAAGGGGTGCCTAGAGCTCCTAATTTGCTGCCTTCTCACCCCAAAGGGGTCCAGCAAACTTCGGGGACCAGCTCGGACCCCTGGGTGTGGAAGGTCCCCCAGAGCCCCCCCATTGCACCCCCAGCCCCTCTCAGCAAGCAGCATCCCTCAAAAAGCCCCCCCAGGGGCTCTCCCTGCTGTGGGGAGGGGGGAGATGCGCAGCTTCCCCCAGAAAATCCCCCTTGGAAATCACAGCAAGTGATTTCCAAGCCTTGGGAACTCCCCACGGGGTGTCCCCTGAGCCTGGGGACATGGCAGGAAGAAAACCACAGGAGGGTGGCTTTGTCCACGCTGCCCCCCACCAGTGTCCCTGTCTGCACTGCCCAAACGGTGACAGGGGATGCTCTAGGTGGCAGGTAGGGCTGACAAACAGCTTAAGAGTGTCCCAGCTAATCCCTTCCCATCTCATCTCGCCCCATTCTGTCCCCATCCCATCCCCATCCTATCCCACTGTATTCCATTCCAAGCAGCATCCCTCAAAAAGCCCCCCCAGGGGCTCTCCCTGCTGTGGGGAGGGGGGAGATGCTCAGCTCCCCCCTGGGAAACCTCCCTTGGAAATCACATTCCCATCCACATCCCACCTCATTCCATCCTCATTCTTGCCCCATCCCACCTCATTCCATACCCATGTCTCATCCCATCCCATCTCATTCCATCCAATCCCCATCCTTTCCCACCTCGTTCCATTCCATTCCATCTCCATCCTATTCCATCCCATCCTCACCCCCATCCCATTCCATCACTATCCCCATCCCATCCCGATTTTATCTCCATCCCATCTACATTCCCATCTCACCACATCCCATCCCCACCCCCATTCCATCCCAATCTCATGCCATCCCTATCCCCATCCCAATTCTATCTCCATCCCATCTACATTCCCATCCCCATCTCACCTCATTTCACCCCATCCCCACTCTATCCCACCTCCTTCCATTCCATCCCATTACCATCCCATCCCCATCTCATCACATCCCACCTCATTCCATCCCCATACCATCTCCAATCCCACTCATCCCATTCCATCCCATCCCCATCCTTATCCCATCCCCATCTCATCTCATTCTGTCCCATCTCATTCCATTCCATCGCATCCTACCTTATCACATCCCCATCCCACCTCACCCCATCCCCACTCCACCCTCCATCCCCATCCCACCTCATCCCACCTTATCACATCCCCATCCCACCTCACTCCATCCCACCGCATCCCACCTTATCACATCCCTATCCCATCCCACCTCACCCCATCCCATCGCATCCCACTTTATCACATTCCCATCCCCATCCCACCCTCCATCCCCATCCCATCCCACCTTATCACACCCCCATCCCCATTCCATCCCATCCCACCTCACCCCATCCCATTCCATCGCATCCCACCTTATCACATCCCCATCCCACCCCCCATCTCCACCCCACCCCACCCCAGGGCGGTCCCTCACGATGAGCTCGCAGCGGTAGGTCTCCTGGTCGATGTTGGCGAAGGTGGCGAGGGTGTGGAGGAACTTGAGGATGCACTCCTCCTCCCGCAGCAGCGCGTACTGCTGGAACGTCTGCTGGATCATCTTCCGGAACTGCTTGGGCTGCGGGGGCACAGCAGCTGCTAGCCACGCTGGCCACCGGCCCCCCACGCAGCAGGGACACGGCGGGGGGCAGAGCCACACCAGGACAGACACACGGACACGCACACGGACACACGCATGCACTCACCTGCAGACATGGATATGCACGTGGAGCTGCGTGCACACCACACACATAGGCAGACATGCAGGCACACGCGTGTGCAAACCAACATGTGCACACACGAGCACCTGTGTGCACATATACACACTATGCGTGTGCACATAGATGCCCCATGTGTGAGCAGATGTGCCCACATGCAGCCATAAGCGTGCACACATACACACATACGTACACGCCTACACACGCGTGAGCAGACATGTCTACACGTGCAAATCTGCCCCACACACACAGGAGCACACACGTCCCTGCGTGTGAATGCACATGCAGAAGCAGACACACCTTCACGAGTGTGCAAAGCTCCACGAGGGAGGGCAGACATGCACATACATGTGTGTGCAAGCCCACACGTGCACAGTGAAGCGCACAGCTGGCCCCATATGTGCATGTATGCACACGTGTACATGCAATGTGTGTGCACAGATACACCTTCACAGGTGTGAGCACAACCTCACACGTGCACAAGTACGAGCAGATGTGTGCACACACATGCAAATCTACGTGTGCACTTCCATGCACACCCAGGAGCACCCACAGGCACGTCTGTGCACGCTTACACACCTTGCACGTGTGTGTACCCAGCCCCACGTGTGTGCACCCACACCCAGCCCTGCGTGTCCCTCACCTTCAGGTTCTCCTGCATCTGGCTGGGGAAGAAGAGGTCCAGGCCCACCTCCTTCCTGGAGAGCAGAGACCCCCACCCACGTTAACGGCCCCATGGGGACCCCCACACCCAGGGCTTCGGGGGGAGGTCCCTGGGGGAGCTGGGGGGTGCCGGGGGGTGTGCAGGTGGGCAAGGGGGTACCCCTGGGGGAGAAACCACCCACCCAGTGCAGGGTGAAACGTTCCCATCTCCTTCTCCATGCGCCCTTGGGGGAAGGATGGGGGGAGGATGGGGGGAGGATGAGAGAAAAGGAGCTGTTGGAGGATGAGGGGGATGAAGGAGAATGAGGAGTTGTGAGAGGATGAGGAGCTGCAGGAGGACAAGGGAGGATGAGGAGCTGCAGGGGGATGAGGAATTGTGAAGGGATAAGGAGCTGCGGGAGGAAGAAGAATTGTGGGAGGATGAAGAGGAGCTGCAAGGGGATGAAGGGGATAAGGAGCTGCAGAGAGAAGAGGAGCTGCGGGAGGACGAGGGAGGATGAAGGGGATGAGGAGCTGAGGGGGGATAAGGAGCAGCAGGAGGATGAAGAGTTGTGGGAGGATGAGGAGGATAAGGAGCTGCAGAGAGAAGAGGAGCTGCGGGAGGACGAGGGAGGATGAAGGGGATGAGGAGCTGAGGGGGGATAAGGAGCAGCAGGAGGATGAAGAGTTGTGGGAGGATGAGGAGGATAAGGAGCTGCAGAGAGAAGAGGAGCTGCGGGAGGACGAGGGAGGATGAAGGGGATGAGGAGCTGAGGGGGGATAAG